AGCTCTCCAGACACTCCTCCCCAAGCCTGTAGAGCTGCTGGGGGTTGTGGCCAAAGTGCAGGACCCAACATTTGGCCTTGCTGAAAGCCATGCAGTTGGTCAAGCCTGTCTAGATCCCTCTGCAGAGCCTCCCTGCCCTCAGGCAGATGGACACTTCCACCCAACTTAGTGTCATCTGCACTTACTGAGGGTTCACTCTATCCCCTCGCCCAAGTCATCAATGAAGATGTTGAACTGGAGATGCCACAGCACTGAGCCCTGGGGAACACCACTTGTGACCAGCCACCAACTGGATTTAACTCCATCCAACACAACTCTTCAGACCCAGCCACCCAACCAGTTTTTTATCCAGCAAAGCGTGTGCACATCCCAGCCACGAGCAGCCAGCTTCTCCAGGAGAATGCTGTGGGAAACCTTATCACAGGCCTGGCTAAAGGCAAGGCAGACAACATGCATGTGCCTTCCCTCATCCAATAAGAGTGTCACCCTGTCGTAGAAGGAGATCAGGTTACTCAAACAGGACCTGCCCTTCATGAGCCCATGCTGACTGGGCCTGATCACCTGGTTGTTCTGCATGCACTGCATAATGGTACTCAGGATGATGTGTTCCATCAGCTTCCCTGGTACTGAAGTCAGACTAAACGGCCTGTAACGTCCCAGATCATCCCTTTTTTTCCATTTTTATAGCTGAGGGTTACATGGGCTGATTTCCAATCTGCTGGTACCTCCCCAGTCAACCAGAATTGTGGATAAATGATGGGAAGTGGCTTGGTGAGCACCCGCACCAGCTCTTTCAGCACTCTTGGGTGCATCCCATCCAGCCCCATGGATTTGTGCACATCTACGTGGTGTAGCAGGTCACTGACCTTCTCCTCCTGGATTGTGGGGGGCATTGCTCTGCCCCTGGTCCCTGTCCCCTAGCTTAGAGAGTTGGATTCCCTAAACATAATTATTTTTTTCCTTGTTTGGAATCTGTTTCATGCCTGGTGGTAGCACCGGGTCTTATGTATGTTGAGGTTGTGGAGCAAGGAGGATGTCCCGTGGTTATCTCTGGATTTGTTAACTGGGAGATAAGATTCTGTTTTCCAGAAATGAGAAGGATTTTAATGTTGGAGTAGTGTGGAATGAACAGGACCAGCAGAATATACATCTATGTGGGGAACAGAGTGTGAATGTAGTGGGGAAATGAGAAAAGAGTTATCAATAAAGCCAGGTAATGAATGTGAATACCTGTTCGTGAAGATGGGATGGATTTGGTGCCTGTGAAAGAGAGAAAATGAATGTCCAGAATATGGTTGAGAGTAGCAGGTCATCTAATAGTAATGCTGATGTAAAATGAAGATCTGTGATGGTTGTATAGAAATAATAAAGCATGAAATATCTGTGTGCATGAGCAGTGTCATAGCCAGAGTGGAAGCTGCATCAA